GTTTTAGAAAGACAGTGTTTAGTATCCCTGCAGTACAAAATGGACTCTTAAAATCTCTTTCTTCTCAAGCTTCATTTCCCAGGTCAAACTTTCAAAACGGGTGTTTTTATTATTCTGTCCATTACACACGGTAGGACGGGGTTCAACAAATCCTACTCCAGGAAAATCAAGTCCTTCTCGTATGTGCTCATCATGCGTCTTAGCATTCCGGTAAACACCATGAACCAGTGGCTGGTGAGTCACTTCCGGCTCATGGCGACCACGTGTTGCAGAGCGCAACTCCACTCCATAGGGTTTTCACGGCTGTGACCTTCTAGGCTTCACCTGCCTCTAAAACGAAGTTTGTTTTTTAGTGTGCTTTAAATGAAAGTCAACAGTTCAAGTTAGTTTCTCATAGAAAAATTCACAGAAACACTGCTATGTGACCCTAGTTGCTCTCCTCATACTGTGACAGCACACTCCTCCTTTCCACCCTGGATTTTTCGTGTCGATTCAACCAGCTCCTGTCCCTTTCTGCCTTCTCATCTAGCCTCCAGATAGGAGCTGCCCATTTAGACTCATGTACCTACTTGAGCTAAGAAGCACACTCTTCATGAGTATCATTTTATGTCTTATAGTCCAGTCTAATCTTTGCCTGAAGAGCTAGTCTTGGGAATGGTTTTAGTTTTGGGCTAAAAGACAGTCCAGGGGTCATGTCTTCCGAGGTCCCTCCAATCTCAGTCAGACCATTAAGTCTGGTCTTTTTACTAGAACTTGAGTTCTGCACCCCATTTTTCACCTGCTCCATCAGGGACTCACTGTTGTGTTCCCTGTCAGAGTGGTCAATGGAGGTAGCCGGGCACCATCTACTTCTTCTGGTCTCAGCCTGATGGAATCTCTGGTTTATGTGGCCCTTTTTGTCTCTTGGGCTCATATTTTCCTTGTGTCTTTGGTGTTCTTTATTCTCCTTTGCTCCAGGGGGCTTGGGACCAATGAATGCATCTTAGACGGCGGCTCACTAGCTTTTAAGACCCCAGACATCACTCACCAAAGAGGGATACAGAACATCATCTTAATAAACTTTGTTACACCAATTGACCTAGACGTCCCTTGAAACCATGGTCCCCAGATCCCCACCCCTGCTACTCTGTCCCTTGAAGTGTTAGCTTATATTCAGGAAACTTCTTAGCTTTTGGTTTAGTCCACTTGTGCTGACTTCCCCTGTAGTGTGTGTTGTCCTTCCCTTTACCTAAGATAATTCTTGTCTACTATCTAGCTAGTGAATTCCCCTCTCCCTCCCTCCCCACCCTCATAACCATCAAATAAATGTTTTCTTCTGTGTTTAAGCCTTTTCTTGAGTTATTGTAACAGCAGTCTTATACAATATTTATTTTTTTGCGACTGATTTCATTCAGCATAATGCCTTTCAGATTCAACCATATTATGTTTCATGGATTCATCATTATTCTTTATCACTATGTAGTATTCCATTGTGTGAATATACCATAATTTGTTGATCCATTCGTCTGTTGATGGGCACCTAGGTTGTTTCCATATTTTTGCTATTGTGAATAGTGCTGCCATGAACATGGGTGTGCCTATATATATTCATGTGACGGCTCTTATTTCTCTAGAATATATTCCAAGGAGCAGTATAGCTGGATCGTATGGTACTTGTATTTCTAGCTTTTTAAGGAAGTGCCAAATCGATTTCCAAAGTGGTTGTATCATTTTACACTCCCACCAACAGTGTATAAGTGTTCCAGTCTCTCCACGACCTCATCAATATTTACTATTTTGTGTTTTTTGGGTTAATGCTAGCCTTGTTGGGGTGAGATGGTATCTCGTTGTAGTTTTGATTTGCATTTCTCTAATGGCTAATGATCGTGAGCATTTCCTCATGTGTCTGTTAGCTGCCTGAACGTCTTCTTTGGTGAAGTGCCTGTTTACATCTTTTGCCCATTTTTTAATTGGGTTATTTGTCTTTTCGTTGTTGAAGTTTTGCAGTATCTTGTAGATTTGAGAGATCAGACGCTGTTTGGATTTGTCATAGCCAAAAATTTTTTCCCAGTCTGTAGGTTGTCTTTTACTCTTCGGTGAAGACTTTTGGTGAGCGTAAGTTTTGATTTTTAGGGGCTCCCAGTTATCCAGTTTCTCTTCTGTGTTTGTGGATTGTTACCTATGGTTCATATTCTGTTTATGCCATGTATTCGGGCTCCTAGTGTTGTCCCTGTTTTTTCTTCCATGATCTTTATCATTTTCAATTTTATATTTAGGTCTTTGATCCATTTTGAGTTAGTTTTTGTACATGGTGTGAGGTATGGGTCTTGTTTCAGTTTTTTGCAGATGGATATCCAGTTATGCCAGCACCATTTGTTAAAAAGACTGTCTTTTCCCGATGTAATGGACTTTGGGCCTTTGTCAAATATCAGCTCCTCATAGGTGGATGAATTTACGTCTGTTTTCTCAATTCTGTCCCACTGGTCTATGTATCTGTTGTTGTACCAGTAACAGGATGTTCTGCCTACTGTGGTGGTATAATAGGTTCTAAAATCAAGTGGTGTGAGGCCTCCTACTTTTTTCTTCCTCTTTAGTAATGCTTTACTTATCCAGGGCCTCTTCCCTTTCCACTAGAAGTTAGTGATCTGTTTCTCCATCTCCTTAAAAAATGCCGTTGGAATTTGGATCAGGATTGCATTGTATCTGTAGATCGCTTTGGGTAGAATTGACATTTTCATGATGTTGAGTCTCCTATCCATGAGGAAGGCATGCTTTTCCCCTTATGTAGGTCTCTTTTGGTTTCTTGCAGTAGTGTCTTGTAATTTTCTTTGTATAGGCCTTTTATGTCCTAAGTATTTTATCTTCTTGGGGGCTACTGTAAATGGTATTGGTTTGGTGATTTCCTCTTGGAAGTTCTCTTTGCTGGTGTAGAGGAATCCATCTGATTTTTGTATGTTTACCTTGTATCCTGATACTTCGCTGAAATCTTCTAGCAGTTCCAGTAGTTTTCTTGTGGATTCTTTGGGGTTTTCTGTATATAAGATCATATCATCTGCATACAGAGATACTTTTACTTCCTCCCTACCAATTTGGACGCACTTTATTTCTTTTTCTAGCCTAACTGCTCTGGCTAGGACCTCCAGCCAATGTTGAATAAGAGTGGTGACAGAAGGCATCCTTGTGTGGTTCCCATTCTCAAGGGGAATGCTTTCAAATTCTCTCTATCTAGGATGATGATGGCTGTTGGGTTTGTATAGATGCCCTTAATTATGTTGAGGAATTCCCCTTCTATTCCTATTTTGCTGAGAGTTTTTATCACGAATGGATGTTGGACTTTGTCAAATGTCTTTTCTGCATCGAGTGATAAGATCATGTGGTTCTTGTCTTTTATTTATGTGATGGATTATATTGATTGTTTGTCTAATGTTGAACCATCCCTGCATACCTGGTATGAATCCCACCTGGTCATGGTGAATTATTTTTTGGATATGTTGTTGAATTCTATCGGCTAAAATTTTGTTGAGGATTCTTGCATCTATATTCATGAAGAATACTGGTCTGTAATTTTCTTTTTTTGTGGTGTCTTTACCTGGTTTTGGTATCAGGGTTATGCTGGCTTCATAGAATGAATTTGGGAGTATTCCATCTTTTTCTGTACTCTGAAATACCTATAGCGGTAGTGATGTTAACTCTTCTCTGAAAGTTTGGTAGAATTCTCCAGTGAAATCGTCTGGGCCAGGGCTTTTTTGTTGGGAGTTTTTAAATTATCTTTTCACTCTCTTCTTTTGTTATAGGTTTATTTAGTTGTTATACCTCTGTGTTAAGTTTAGGTAGGTAGTGTGTTTCTAGAAATTTGTCCAATTTCTCTACGTTTTCAAATTTGTTAGAGTACAATATAAAGAAGTTTTGACTTAGATGAGTTCTAAGATCCTTAAAGGTCTCTATGGTTATATAAAATACTGGAGATTTTTATCTAGGTTGCTTCATTTGAATATGAATCTTAGTAAGGTAGGGTAGTAATTCAAATCATACAAATTGTATAACAGACAGACTTTAAATTCTGGTAATGAATGAATATGTTCAAGAAACACTACAAATTTAACCTTTGAACATTTTCACAAGACTCACAAAATCACCAATGTCCCCCCCTCCCAGAGTATATTTGTTCACCAAAAAGAACTTCAGTCCATCCTAAGAATCTTCAGATTTTATGTTTTTAATTAGACACTTGAATTTTATTCAGCTTTTGCCTGTCCTGCTATCTCTTCTTTACCCTTCAAACTCAAAACCATAATTTACACTGTACTTTCTGACTTACAACACTTTGTCTGGAATGTTCCAAAAGGAGTTGTCTAACTATCCTAAATCTCCGTTTTTGACTTAGCATAACATTTAGGGAACCCAGTACTAAGACAATTACTTTTTATTCTGCTACTCATATTATAGGGCACTTTTTTTATTCACGTTAAGATCCAACAGGGGAAAACTACTGTACTGTTATGCAAGTAATGCACACCTTCTATTTTCATAAGTGCCACTATGCCAATTTTTTTTACATGTTATTCTAAAAATTAAAAATTAGCATAGCATGCTTATGGGTGGGCAGTGCTGGCAAACAAACGTAGAAAGCGTGCATTATTTGCATAAAAATATAGTATATATTTTATAGTATATATAATATATATAATATATATAGTATATATAATATAATATAATATAATATAGTTTATATAAACTTCATAAAAAATCTAGCCAGAGATAATCAACGCAGAATAAAGGCTATACTTTGAAATTCAATACTCAGTGAAAGAAAAAAAAATATAGTCTATTAATGATTCAGAATAGCAACAAAATTACACTGTAACAGGAAATAATTTGCTGAGAAATGAGAAAATTAGTCATATAAAAAAGTTTAAAATTTAAGTTTTTAAAGTCTTGTTATTTACTGTCATGAAAAAGTCAATTTGACAGCATGCAGTTTTGATTTGCCGTTTTCAATCCATCAGCATATTAAAGGATACTCAATACCAGAATGATATGTGACTCTGCCACGAACTGAGCCTGGCTGCTCCCGTGAATGTAGCTCTATAAAACAAGAAAGGGGACAAAAATTACCATCTGGGAAAAAGACATAATTATTTTACAGTTTTATGTAATGAAGATAACCAATGGACAAATCTACTCACGAAGCTCTTGCTTATATTCTTTTGAATAAATTACTGACCAAAAAACCAAACCTGTTGCTATCAAGTCGATTCCCACTCAAGATAATTACTAGGTAACTGGACTTAACAGATGATAATGGTAGTTGATGATGTTACTGTAAACTGTAGAAAGCATCTTACTAACAAAACTTAGTAACACTTGTTCAAGGATTTATCACAAATACACACAATGTAATGATTATTCCAGAGTTACTGTGCAAATGTACTTGGATAGCAGAAAGTACAAATTACAGAAATAATTGTTTTAATTCTTGATCCTTTAAAATAAGCCAAAAATTATCTATCAAATGTCATATTGTTCCTTCCAGCAATATCAAAAATTTCCAAATAAGGAGTTAGCTTTATAAACGCATTCATTAGGGCAATTTAAATTGATTTTTAGTCAAAATATAATTATTAACATTGTTTTTACACCACAGAGAAATGTATAACTTTTCTATACCTAGGATGCTAGTTGGTAAGTCGATGACAGAAAATTTGAAACAAATCACCAACTAGAATACTGTGTTTCTAAAAAGCTGATTCCCACAGCATTTCTATTGTTAATCTCTCATAAAAATTAGTTCCTATAGAGTTGTTTGAAATAAAAATATTTTTCTAGGATTTTGGCTTAAAAACAATACTGAAGAAAAAACATGATACCTTACAATATAAACCAATGTTCTCAATCTTACATCACTTATGAAGCATACTTGTACCATTTAGGAGGATCCAAGTAGCATGTTCAATATTTTTCTTTGCTGGTATTTCTGACAGTAAGTATGACTGAAATCATAATGGAACGAGTATTTAACGAGGAGTGAGAAACCCAGACGAGTCACTAAATCTCTCAGAAATTCAGTATTCCCTAATCTATAAAATTAGGAACTGAATTAGATGATTCCTCAGGCCTTTTTGAAGTATCAAGTGTTTGTCACAAAGATGTTTTGTCTTCAGTCTTGTCTTGGTATCTGCATGTGAAGGCTGTTCTCTATATCCTAATCGAAACTGGCTTTGTTTCCACCTCTAATTTCTCAGTAATTCCTAGCGCAGTTGCCGATCTGAAGGTGTGCTGAGATGTGTGTGTTCTTTAAGCACAGCTTCAGGCAAACTAGCTAACTAGCCATCTCTGGTTCTTGCACACCACAGCTGCCAAGGACTCATTCTTAGTTTTTTTCCTGGGTCTATTCACTCAGATGTTCCTACACAGAAACAAGTAGAGTCTTAAAACGGATAATCTAGTTGCTATTAACCATTTAAGGTTTTTAACATTGATGGATGACAAAAGTATAATTATGGAAAAAACATAGTAAAACAAGTACAAACACTCTAATGTTTGACATCACTTCAAGTCTGATTAGAAATTAAAGTCCTAAGAATGAAGAAACTAGGACACAGGCTTTACTCTTCTTTATTCGAACAGTTATAACAGCAGTAACAACAGACACAATCATACGAAGTAACAATAATAACAGCAACCATTTTCTGGGTACTCGTTTAGTGTAAGACACTTAAGGGTTTTACATGTAATTCTAAGAACTCTACAATGTAGGTATTTGTATTTCGGCTACTTTACAGATAAGGTAACTGACGCTTCGAGAGGTGAAGAAACTTGCCCTAGTTTTCACATCTCATAAATGAATGCTCTGGGATTTGAACTCAGGTCAGTGCAGGACAACGTGTTTCTCTATACATGGACTTTTTGGCCCTAGGTCTGTAGTTCTGCTAAGATCATTTGCTAGGCCACGATCTTGCAAAGGGATTGGTTAGTCTACTATGTAAACAGGTGTGTTAAAACCCCTGTAGGGATTGATCAATTACTATGCAAACTAGGTGGCTATGGTCTACTGAGAGGATTGGTCAGTTATGCCATCCTGCTAGACATAAAAGAGCCAATCCCACACAGACTGAGAAGGACCTTACTACCATCAAGCAGAAGAGCTGGGAGTGGAGCACATCCTATGGACCCAGGGTCCCTGAGCTGAGAATCTCCTAGACCCAAGAGACAGAGACACTGGAGATGGCAGGAGAAGATGGCACAACAGCACGAGCAGCGAGAACCAGGAGACCTGCACATGCTGGCTGCGGTGGGCTTCCCAGCCCACAGAGCGAAGTGGCTGCAGTGAGCTTGCTGATCCATGGAGTGATAACGCTCAGCGTCTTCAGGCAGCAGGCTTGCTGGCTAAGCAGGGTGCCTGTGGGTACTTGTTGGGGGAGCTAGGCTTGCTAACCCATGTCCGAAAGAGGTGACAGCCTTCAGGTGAGTGGCTTGCTGATGGAGTGGGGTGCCTCCAGACACTTTTTGGTGGAGCTAAAAAGCTGTTAACACTTGCCTATGAAGGGCAGAGGCCAAGAGCGACAGCTGATGGTGGACACGGCCGAGAAGGAGCCGAGAAGGAGCTGAGAGGTTGGAAACTGCCCTGACTGACGAACTGTATCCTGTCTCCTGAGTTGTTCCTGCTACTTTCAAGTTGATGCTGATCCTGAATTGCAACCTGCTGCTTCCCTAATAAATCCCACAATCCTGAGTATGGTCTGTGAGTTCTGTGAGTGATTTCAAATATTTTTGTTTAAGTAACAGAATCTTCTTCAATGAAGCTTCTGTCAAGTTCACCAATGGACTTCCATATTGTCGGATCCTATGATCATATCTCAATCTTACTTTACTCAATCTATCTGAAGAAACTGCCACATTTGATCACTCCCTTTTTTTTTTTTTTTGGTATTATTTTCTTCACTTGACTTCGAGAG